AAAAAAAATTAACTTAAATGATTTTAGCAAATGGCTGCAATATAACAAAGAGTGAAAAATTTAAGGGGGTCTGAATACTTTCCGTACCCACTGTATATACATACACATACACATACATACATATACATACACACATACATATATATATATATATATATACACACATACACATATATATTATACACACACACACACATACATACATATACACACACACGCACAAAGAAAAACAAGTAGATAGAATAGAAAAAATAGAAAGCTAGTGTTTGTTTGTTTGTTTGTTTTTTTTAAATAAAAAAATAAAAAAGAAGATAAATATAGATAGAATTAAAATAGAATAAGAAAGTGCTAGAGTTAGAGGGTCAAATAAAGGTATGAGCAATATAACTACTAGTCAGTGACTAAAAGTCACACAAACTGAAATCTGGACATATGATACACAATATGAATGGAAGAGATTGTGACCTCATAAACCGCATAAAAACAATAGGAACAAATGAGCTAAAAAAAAAAGAGCACATGCAGAATCTGTCCATTATATTAAATTTCACACCACCACTAACTTGAACTAATTCTATGTATTTCATCCTCAGAGAGCAAGAAGACGGCCAAAGACTGTTTTGTGGGCGTCATATCCAGTCACGGTGAGGAGGGTGTTGTGTTTGGCGCTGATGGACGTGCTGTGAAACTGGCAGAGATCTACAGTTACTTTGGAGGCCCGTCAATGGCAGACAAGAGCAAACTCTTCCTCATCCAGGTACATTTTGTGAAAACTTTCTCACAGACAAACTCCTCTGACCTTTTTAGCAAATATTGATGGCTGTGATGATTACATTCCACTTTAGAATTCCTTTGACTCTCTGGTACTGTTCAGTCATTTTAAGCCAAAAAATGTTGTGAATTTTTATTTTTATTCATCAGAATGGTATGAAACTTGGTCACATTTGTGGCAATTGTTATGTGAACACACACAAAAAATTGTGGACATGACTTGAAAAGGCTAAAAAAAAAAAGTCACACTTTACTGTTCACATGACTGCCAAAGGAAATGAAAGGGAAATATACAACATTTTTGGGGGTTTCTCTCTGATTATTGCATGGCTACTCACCATATAAATGCATGCATGGATGTTAAATGTTGATTTAAGTTGATATTATTTCATTATTTGACCTGTATATTTTTCTTAAAGCTTAAAACTTGTTGCAGATCATAACTGAATGTTTATAATTAACATAACTTCTGGTGTTCAGGCTTGTCGAGGGCATGAGTTGGATGGAGGTGCGAAGGTGGAGGCAGATTCTTCATTCTCAGAGGAAGAGGACGGCATGTCTGAGCTCTTTTCCATTCCTATTGACACAGCAGTCATGTACGCCACATCTCCAGGTGTGACTTATTAACTCCAAAACATTGTTTGCATAGTTTGTAAAGTCACAAACACTTCAGTTCCTCACTCACGTACGTTCATTCGTGTTCTAGGTTACGCTGCATTCATGCATCCTCTGGGCTCGGTGTTGATTCAAACCCTCTGTGATTTGCTAGAAAAGGAAGGAGGTCCAGAGCTGGAGATCCAAAGACTTCTGACTCGACTAAACTACCAGGTGGCCTACAACTTTGAATCCAGAGGGAAAGTGTTGGGCGGCAAAAAGCAGATGCCATGTTTTGTGACCCGCTTTACCAGAGAGGTTTTCCCATTCATGGACAGTCAGACGGCAGCAGCAGCAGATTTGAGCTTGACCTTTGCAGCAACGCAGCTTATCGATGAACCCAGAAGGTCACGGAAGAACTCCATCAGCTGAAGATTGCATAACAGAGACTGACTGCAAAGAACATGTGGGCAAACTGATTAATCTTAAAGCAGCACTATGTAACTTTTTCTGTTCAAAATTTGCAAAATGTATATAATGAGCGAGTACATCATGAATCCATCTTCCAAACCGCGTTTTTGTCTTATTCCGAATCACTACGGTACACTTATAATAAGTACTTATATTTGGACTATTGTAGCCTGGTCGGGTCGTCACCGCTGCGGAGTAACACATACCTGCGTGAATCGCCATAGACATAAACTTAGAGAAGTAGCTCCGGTTAGAATGTTCTTCCGCGGGATGTGTGCAGATCTGTTTATTAACAGCTAGAGCGCCAAAAGTTACAAAGCGCTGCTTTAACTCTTCTAACATCTGATGTCATGTGCTTTCTTAGCATTCCATTCATGTCCATTTATGTTTTTTTGCTATTGCTACCTCATTATGTATATATTCTATTTATTCTTTCTATACACTACTGTTCAAAGGTTTGAGGTCATTAAAATTTTTAATGCTTTTGAAAGAAGTCTCTTCTGCTCACCAATTGGCTGTATTTATTTGATCAAAAATACAATACAACTGTAATATTATTAAATATAATTACGATTTAAATAACTGATTTCAATCATGATTTTAATTTATATATTTTTTATTATTATTAAATATTATAACTATTCTAATATACTGATTTGGAGCTCAAAGGACATTCTTATTGCTATCAATGTTGAAAACAGTTGTGCTGCATCATTTTTTTTTTTTTTTGGGGGGGGGGGGAACCATTATACATTTTTTTCAGTATTCCTTGAATAGAAAATTCAAAATAACTTTATAATCTTTTGTAACATAATAAATGTCTTTACTGTCACTTTTGATCAATTCAGTGTGTCCTTGTTGAAAAGTATTCATTTCTTTTAAAATACAAATGAAAATATTTACTAATCCAAACTTTTGATGTAGTAATCAAAACAACCATTTGAATAATTTAAGTTTTAATTATATACGTACTGACATAGGTTTTGCTAGTGATAAACATTCTTATAATTCTTGAAACAATGTTAAAATGTTGAATCTTAACACAATGTTAAAACAACGTTGAAGCTTAACAATGTTAAAATTCTTCTACTTTTTAAATGTGATGAAATATGGAAGTGCGATGACTTGCTAGACATAACTGACCTAAATTAGAAAAAAATAAAAAAATCAAGCAACTGTGTTTAGTGTCAAAAAGAACACATTTAGATAAGGTCTGATGCAACTGGCATTTTATTGAATTCCTGATGATTCCGGAGAGAACTAATGTCATAAAAAAAAAGATGATCACATGCTGTTTGAGTTCAAAATAAAACTGAAAGAAAGGTTCAGCTGTCTGTGACTCAGATTAAGTAATCATAATCATACTTTGCCCCTGTGTATTTACTGTAACTGAAGGTGTGTACACAGGATATTGCACATGAATGAATGAATGAATGAATGAATGTGAAGTGACAGCAGATCCAGGCATGCAGGATTTCATCAGTGCACACAGCCTGCTGAGCACAAATGCTGATGTCAGGATCTATATGAATATATTTCACTCAAGAACACTGAAGGGTTTTTGCTTATTTGAATTAACGCAGATGAACAGTTTCTATGCTTCAGGAGTTAATTGTGTTTTTAGTTATGATAATTGCAAAAAAGAAAACATGTGAAGATGTATTCTGGTTTAATCGTCTCATCAGAAATGTACACAAAAATATATAAACCTGAACTGACTGCTGTAGGTGCCCATTGTGACAGTTTACCACGCTACACAAAAAGTCAGTGTGTTCAATGAATTGTATATTTCGTTTTGGGCAACAACGGTGAAAACAGTTTTTTTGTAGCCAAGACTTCAACGTTTGTGTCTATACAGAAACAAAAATTCACAAAAAAAAACCTACCTAAAGAACCAAATATTCCCAGGAGTTTGACAACAAGCCCCAGTCTCCTCTATACAGTATATTTTGGGCTTCATTTCAGTGAATGAGAGCAAGTGCGTTACAAAGGGATCTTAAGACAACATCGCCATCTACTGGCAGAAACCTTTAACTCTACTGACCGACACCAGTGTGATATTTATGTCTGCCACTAGAGGGCGGTGTCGCAGCACACCTATATTAATTCCTCACTCGTGTTACAACTTAGAAGACCACATTGTTCAAAATGTAACGTTTTTTTTCTTGTTGGATCCCTTTATCTATCTGTCTGAAGCACGGATATTAATTTTAATTTTATCGCACGGATATTAATTTTAATTTTACACTCAGTGGTGTTCAAAGCTATAAAGCAATGCTATATATTTCATAGTTTAATGATATTCTAGATTTTTATTATTATTAATTAATATTTAATTTTCGTTTACATCTGACACACTACATTCTTATATTAGGTTAGGCCTACATAATTGTTACATAATTGACATAATTCTGAGCTTATAGATTCCTATATGAAATAAAAGACTAAAAAACATACTTTGGGGGTTAAAAATATCGATACTGCCATGTGATACGGAAGTAAACACAGTATGGTACACGAGCCATGTAGGCTATATTATAGGTATCAAACGTATTTATCATATGTCGTGGTTTTACCATCTGATGCCATCACATAACTATACCCACAAAACAAAATCAAGGAGCCAGTTTCATAGCATTAAACACAGCTTTGCAAAACAGTGACTGAATGCAACTTAAAGCCATTCTTAGCACCTCAAGTGTTTCCTGGTCAACTCTCCCTTAGTCTGGACTGTCATTTTTACTCACCACAACAACCACAATGAACTGTCCTGGTCATCTCGTAATTATGGGCTTCAGTAGTTTCCTTGAGAGCGGACCCATATCCTCCTGGGACCCAGGCATTGACATCTGTCCCCTGTAGAGGACATTATATTTCAGTGAATTTCTCTGAGACCCTACTACTACCACAGTTTTCAGTCTGGATGTCCTGTACAGAGCACATTCAGGGCTTTTCAGAGATATCAAATGTTTGGAGGTTTGATCATAAACACTCCCTCTCCTTGGTCTTTAAATATGACTGATATCGACAGAATAATCAAATTGAGCACTCTTAGGGAAATATGATGATGTTTTGTAATTATCATTTAAATCTGGCTAAACTTGTTTGTCGTAAATAAATAGCTCAGAAAAATGTTATGGGGTTTCAGATTGGAATATGACTTTTTGTTACGAAGCAGGGCATTATTTTCATACATGTCTTCTGTAGAGGACACCAGAACAAACGGCATGTTAATCAGGCATTTTAGGGAGACACAATAAGTCAATATACAGGGAAAGAAATTATAGATGACCTATGAAATATGAGATATTCTTATGAAAATGTTGCAAATTTATTACTCCCATTATAACACTTCTTTTTCATTATGGTTTGCCCCAAGAATACATTAATATGCAAATTAGATGCAATGTATATAGAAATGGGAATGACAATTTATGGACATTTTACGCACACATTGCATAAAGTAAAGTAGTATATCAAATAATTCTGTTATATCTTTCATAAATCAGTTGAGAATCATCTTTGTACAAAGTTTGGTTAAAAATAGCCTGAAACTTAAAAACTGATTGGTGAATGAAAAAATAAAACATTGTTTTTGCCTATACATGCCTTTTCATGTCTATTATTATTATTGTTTTAATAACTTAGTTCTGGCGTCCTCTACAAAGGACAAAGAATAAAATATATTATTTTCAAAAATGTTTTTTCTCCATTTGTTTCTTATGCTCCAACCAATGTAATGATGTAACAACAAAATTCATAAAACTTTTTTTTTTTTTCTGGTTCTCAGGAGGATATGGGTTTTTGATTTGACTGATTTTTACGTAGAAAGGGCAGCGCACCGCATTAAAAGAAACGATCATTCATGTTTTCATAACCGCTGGCCAAATTCAAAAACGAAACTAAAATTAAATCATCTTTGAGAGCAAGGGGGCCCCGTGGTGTTTCGGGGGCCCTACGCAGCTTGCGTATTTTGCGTATAGGGAGGACCGGCTCTGCTAGACATATTTTAAGACCTAAAATTCGCCATTTAAGGAACTGAGATGATTCTGCAAATTGGTCTCCAGATATCCAGACGGTGGAAAGTGAAGTTAGCGTCTATATGCACAGTTAACACACACTCAGCTTCACATTTGCCGTTGCTGGAACGCGTCTATGTGTGTTAAGTTGAATTATTGGATCACTCCGTCTCCTCCGTGAGACCTAATTGCTCCTTCCTGGCAGCCGTCGGCATCCCAGGGGCCACAGAATCCCGTAACCTACCTTCCATGCCGTTTGCTAATTGAAATAGCTAATAAGATCTCAGAGGACCGACTTTCCAAACCTCTTCATTAAAAACAGTGGCAGTGTGTCAAAACACATATAATTGTGCTGTAAACACGTGGAAATATTTAATTCTGGACACGGCTTTTACAATTTTGTGACCGAGTTTGCAGTCTTGCTTATTATTTACAGCCTTCTGAAAACAATATGTTCCCGTGTCCTCATCATCACTCAAAGCTGACTTTAAATCACTAGAACATTTGGTTACATTTCTATCTCACAAGCTTGTCAATAAAGTAAACCACAGTGTAATCAAACAATGTCTGTTCTAAACACCATTTGCAACTGACATTGTAAACCACAGTATTAAAAAAGAAATGTCTAGTGTTCTATTGTTTTTTCTTCGCAATAACCGAATGAACTGAGCATATTAAAACAAAAAACATTTTTTTAAAAGTACATTTTGACCTCAAATGTCTATTTTTCATTATTCTGCTCTTCCAAAGTACTTTTACCAGGATAAAGTCACAGTGTGCAACAACACGCTGCACTTTTTTTCTTTGAGAAGCTGCGTTTTGCGCAACAATGAATTATATAATTTAGTGTGTGCACATCATGAGTGCCAGCATTCACATACCACTTCACGAGCCTTAATTAGATAAATGAACACTGTCAGTGTGTGTGATACTGGCTCTATTCAGAAGATCTATGTTGCATTATTCAGCCAGTCATCACATGCAGCGTCTTCTCCCCCCAAAAAACACAATGCAGCCTTTAGAAATAACTTGAGGTTTATTAGCTATGGAGTCTTAGGAGAGTCACACACACAGGGTTAGGAACAGGGTGAGGTGGTACCAAAAGAAAGAAGAAAAATAAAAGAAAAATAGGGAGAGAATGCAGTAATGAACAATCAAACTCCTAACTACCATTAGATTGAATTAAACTAAAACTACAAATTGTATTTTGTCAAGTATGGCTTAAAAAAAAAAAAAGAAATCTTTATACATTTGACTTTTATACAAGTAGCAACATTGGAGAATCACGTTGGAAAAAGGCAATTTACAAAAAATACATTTTTGTTTCAAAGACAAAAGCAAAATAGAGGGGTGGTCAAATATTGACCAATATTTATTCCTTTTCATTCTATCTTAAAAACTTGGTCTAATATCTATAAAAATGTAAAAAAGCAATATACAGGTGTAAAAAGTTTGTCTTTTTTCCCCCCATTCACTCCACTGATTTGGTGACCAGAGAGAGAGGTTGTGTCTGCAGCAAGGCATGATGGGAATGTAGGGCTGCCTGGTGGAAAGGCGAGGACGGGGAGAGCAAGGAGGGAGGTAGGGTAGTGAACGGGATGGGACGGGACAGGAGGGCCGCAGACTGACTGTGGAGAGAGATGTTCGGATGAGAGGCGGTGGAGGTGGATGAGGAAGTGGAGCTGGAGCCCGATGCTTTCCCTGGCAGGGGGAAGTGGGGGTGGTGGGTCCTGCCCTCCGGTTTGGTGGTGAGGGACAGGGGTTGAGCCTGCTCCGAGTGAGTGGCCGCAGGGGCCGCCGGTGAAGCCAGGGCAGCGGACGGTGTGGCGGGCGAGTCCAGCATGCTGCCGTGAGAGGAGGTAGGGCTGTCACACATTTTCTCAGATGGCAGGTACGGGACACACTGCTTCTTGAGCTGGGGTGAGAAGTTACCTGTAGATGAGGGGGAAACAGGGTTAAATATACTCCCAAATAGTCTGTTAACAAATGGCGAATGAAAACAAAACACTGTTTATGGTTACATACATACGGTTTAAATTAATATATAAAATGTTTAAATATTTAATTGAATAATTATTCTTGCTAACTAATTTTAGATGCCATTTCAGTCAAAATTGACCAACATCAATGATTATGACATGTAACAATAATGACTAAATTTAAAGGTTATTTTCATAAAAATACAAAAACTGACTAAAAACTAGGGCTGCACGATTAATCGAATGCGATTGTCATGCGCATTTTGATAGTAATGCCGGTTCTGTAATCAGCAGGAAATCATCATCACGTGCTTTCAGATTTATTAGTCACGTTGAATCAATGAAAGCTGTTGAATCTTCTGTTTATTCAGCTGCAGCGATAGGCATTTTCTGGGTTTCTTCTGCGAGGCGTATTTGGAGTTTCAGCGCGAGAGCGCCCTCTGGCCTTTGGATGGAGATTTACTGCTGATCACAGAACCGTGCTTCACTGAAAGATACGCATGACAATCGCAGCTTCTGTCGAATCGCGATCTCGATTCCATTTCGATTTATTGTGCAGCCCTACTAAAAATAACTCCCATTTGCTCCCAAATTACTTCAAACACACACACACACACACAAAAATGTATTCATACGGATTTGGAAAAACATGAGTGAGTAAATGAACTATTCCTTGAAAAAAAATTCCAGTTAAGAAGAAAAAAGCCAAAATGTTCGTCATCTAGCTTCTAAGGTCAAAATTGAACTGAACATGATCTATGAGCTGAGTGATTGGACCAACAGGGATGCTGGGGGAAAAAAAAGCTCAAGTTCAGCGAAAGATCATGGATACAGAAAGTGAGAAAGAAATACAGATGGCCAGTGACACTTACTCTCTTGTGGGGAATCAGGTTTATTGTCTCTCTTCCGTTTCTTCCTCTTTCCCTGCGGACAGACATGATTTGGAGCAAATTAGATGTGTTTGATTAAGCAAAACTCCCCTGGCTGCCAAAAACAATGGAGGAATCCGAACCCCACATGATTTGTATTAAACTCTGCATTCTGGGCTCACTTACGTAGTTGTCTCGCGCAGACCAGCCCGGATAAAGCTGAGAGTGCAGCTGCCGTTCTTTTCTGGCGAGTTCATAGTATTTGGCCTGTTCCTCACGTGAAAGAGAGTGCCACTGCGGAATAAAAGAACGGTCAAATTTCCCTCCTTTTTTCATTCCTTAAAGGGATAGTTCACCCAAAAATGCACATTTTGATCATTTACTCACCTTCATGTCATTCCAAACCATCATGTACAAAAGGAAAAATTTCAGAAGCATGCAAGTCATACGGACCACTTTTACTATGCTTTTGCATCCTTTTTTGACGCTTGATAGCTTCAGTGCTTATTCGTTGTAATTGCATGGAATAGAGCGACCAGCACAATCATCATGATATCCCCTTTTGTGCCTCATGTGGGTTTGGAATGACATGAGGGTGAGTAAATTATGCCAATTTTCATCCTTAGGCGAACCGTTCCTTTAAGACAAGATGAAGAGAACACTAATGCATCTCAGCTCCTCTCATAATGGAATTGTAAGCGCTCACCCTCCTGCCCAGGATCTGGTTGATGGCTGCACTCTCTTTCAGGGTGCATTCGGCCACTACTTTGGCCCTCATTTCCTTCATGTAGAGCATAAAGGCATTTAGGGGCTTCTTGATGTGAGGCCTCTTCTCTTCCTCTTTCTTCACAGGCACTGAGGGCTTTCTGTACAGATGCAGATGGACGCAAAGACAGTCAGTTGGAGAAGAGCAGAGAAATAACTCTGAGAGAGTAACGGAGGAGATGGACTGACCCGTGTGTCGAGTTGCCGGCGTTGTCGCCGCTGGGCTCCTGTTTGATGGCATGCGACACAATGGCGGGGTGAGGGATGCCCGTCTGGTGCAGGCCATGAGGAGGATGAGGCACCATGTGAGGAGAGAAACGACTGGATACCAGGCTAGAAAGACAGACAGATTCACACAGTCAGTAATAGACAGTAATATATAGACAGATATACCAGGATATTGAAGGTATAAATACAATGGTAGCCAGTTGAATGGGAGATAGATACAGTGATAGAACAATAGATAAAATGATATAGAGAGAATAAGAGATAGAACAATAGAGGAATAGACAGAGCAATAGATAGAATGGTATGACTGAGCTATAGATAAAGCGGGACAAAGCAATAGATAATAAAATAGAAGGATAGACAGAACAACAAATAGAAGGATAGACAGAACAACAAATAGAAGGACAGACAGACAGACAGACAGACAGATAGATAGATAGATAGATAGATAGATATTGTCACACTGGGAGAACCTATCCTAGCAGCTGCATCTGGAAAAATCTTCAACTCTAGGCTTTCAGATTCATAACAGCTAATACAATAGCAGCATTGTCATTTTCACATATGAGGGGGAAAAACTGTTCCAATCTGTGATTTGCACACTCTTGTCCAACACATATTGACGCTGGACTACAGCACATCACTGTGCCACAAAATGAACGCAAGCAGAAAAAGATTTCTCTCCTGCTAGAGACCAACAAAAGGTGCACAGGCATAAGATAACCGTGAAAGCAATAGAGGGAGATTAAAAGACAGCGAGAGTTCATGCTGACGTGCGAAAACTGAACTCATCCAGCAACCCAAGGAAATTTTAAGCATTATCTGAATGGAAAGAATATGATTAAATCATGCATTAGAGTAGTTTCTATTCAGCAAGAGTTTCAAGAAGTGCTACTTTCATATAATGGCTAGCATATTTACAGTGATATGGTAAAAAGTGGGGAAAAATTAAGGCATAACATGGAATAACTTACACCTTTGAGTTTCTGCAACAATCACTTTAGGTGTGTAGAGGTTTTATTTAACTAAAATAAGTTTGGTCGAATTCTTGTTTGGAAGTTTGTCCATGGGACATTTGCATAATATCACAATTATACACTATAAATTTTTTTTTCTAGATAAGTAGCATGGTAATACCACAGTATTTTTTAAAGCACCATATAAATACCATGCATATGACAATTATATGCCACGCAAAACAAACATTTCAGTGTTATCTAATAATTTTATTTCATTATTAGCATTGAGCATTGGCAATCAAGTTGTACTTTTATCAGAGAGAGAGATAAAACCAATTGTGTTGCATTCAATAAAAGATTTCCTTTCTGGAACATGCACAGGGTTGAAAAAGAAAGAGAGGTATCAAGGCGCCATTACTGAGCAAAAAATACATCAGCAGTTTCCTGTACTAACTGTTCTCTGAGCCTTCCGGGAGGAATCGTGCTGTCTGCATCTCATGTCTATTAATAGATACGAGTTTAACTTTAAATCAGCATGTTGGTGCAGAAAAAAAGGTCTTGCCCTCTGTTACATACCTAGACATGGAGGCGTTCATGGCAAGTGCAGGGTAGGGGTGTCTGAAGCCCCCAGGAGGGATGGAGTACATGTGTTGGCCTTGCCTGAAGATAGAAGCACAGCACTCAAACAACTGGCTAAAGCAAAATCAGGGACAAACAGATGCACATTTTGCTAGAAAAAACGTCAATAAGCCATCTGCATGGGTAAACTAAGGTTGATGTTATGTAATTTAAAGGCCACAGGGTTCAGACTTACTGAGGAACCAGCCATCCTAGAGGGTGCGGGATCTGTCCAACTGCCCCAGGAGAGAGAGGGTAATATGGGGACAGCTCTGAAGGATGAGGGGTCCTTGGTATTCCTGAAGAAACAATCATTGATTATGAAAACTGAAGACAAATATTAACATACAAGTGTGAACACAAAGGGTGAACTTCTGCAATGCTACTCGCACTAAATCAAATTGCAAAAATTCTGAATATCTTCAAACACTCCCCCTTGTCTACAATTGCCCTGCAAACAGGTAGTCCTGCCCCAAAAATCACACCACTGGTTTAGTCCGGCAGATTAAAAATGATTGCAATTCCATTTAATGCCACTAGTGGCGCCCCAAATCACACACTTCACCTGTAACTACTTCTATCTCCATATTATATTATTGCAATAAACCCCATCAAAAAAAGTCATGACTCAGCATTTCTGGATTGTACTACTTTTTCTTTTTTCATCTGGAAATTGCTGTTGGTGGAGCTTACCTGTCTTTGGGTCAAGAATCTCCGGTGAAAGGTGAGAGGGAGGCGTCCCAGGGGAGAAGTGTTCATTGCTGTAGGTGATCAGCGGTGTAAGGGGATGAACATGATGGGGGTGTTGTACCACTGGCACCTTATTGGACTGAAAACAAAAGGAGAAGGAGGTGAGGGAGGGGAAATTAAAGTGTGTGTGCATGTTTAAACAACCAAAAAGCCAACCGAAAAGAAGAAAATAGCCATTAGGCCTCATTACTCGTGATCGGCGCCAGAGAGTTTTAAAGAACAATGGGTCTCGGCAGCAGAGTTTACTTTTCCCTACTTCTCCCAAAGGAAAATAAACACCAGTTGGGCATTTGACCGGCTGCATGGAGGGTGGGAGAAATCACACCTAACACCCCTAACAGGCAGCATTTCAACAAGAGAAAGATGTTTCCAGCTGCCACCCGCCATAAGTGACACTAGGATGGACAGGCCTGGCATTTGAAGGGAAATGGCAGTGGTCTTGTTTACTACACCTCTCTCAAGAGGCGGCCAAAGGTGGCACCTGTTGTAACAAACCCTTCAGTGCTTCTCTTGGCGAGGTGGCAAAAGTTTAACAGATCAGGACGACTTTTGAGATTCTTAAGAAGGCACAATTTTGGAAGCCGATAGGCCAGGGGTAGGCAAGTCCACTCCTGGAAAGCTACCATTCTGCAGAGTTTAGCACCAAATCTAATTAAATGCACCTTAACCAGCTAATCGGCATCTTCAGGATTACTTGAAATTAATAGGCAGGTGTGTTGGAGCAAGATTGGAACTGAAGTCTGCAGGAAGGCAACCCTCCAGGAGCAGGGTTGGCTACCCCTACATTAGGCTAATGTGGTTGTAAAAGGGACATATTACCTTAGAGTTATAACCTGATGACTTTGTGAGGAGTGTTGCTTGAAAAGTTGCGTATATTCTGGCAAAAACCAGCTATCAAGGCCATTTCAGCCTTTTACTACACATACCCATACCTCAGCCCTGGAAAATACTGTATGTAAGTACATGAATGCAAATGCTAAGCTAAACAAGCTCAATTTCAAGTTTCACTTTCTAAGAGTTTCCGCAAATGGCACACTATAGCAAGCAATAGCAAAACTTCCAACTCCGTTTTCTCTTTCAGGTCAACCAACATCATGACGTACCAGCAATTCAAAGAGAATCGTGCTGTAGTTAAAGTTAGTTAAACTCTCGACATGTTTAAAGCTAGCTACCTGAATAATAACTCATAATTTTTAGCACAGTCATTTGAAGGCAATTCTACCACCCCACTGAATACTGAGGAGCCTATATTAGCATATAATTTACTAGCATACGTCCAGAACCCTAACCACATAAATATAGCAGTAGCACTATAATAATATCAGAAGCAGCACTGCTGTGATGTGTACATAAGGCAATGCAAGGTGGTGAGCCGTAGATTGAATGGGGTACTTGTTGGCTCAGGACGTCACAAGGGAGCTAGAGCGGAGAATGCCATCTTGTTTCCTCCATGCTAACCTTCCCCCCACCTCTATGTAGGCAGTGGGTTTGACCTCTGCTCCAACCAGCACTCTGTGAACATGAACAAGGCTTGCATTGAGACGAGACTGGCTCTCGTTTCCCAGAGTCCAAACACATCCCGATCTTTGGGTTGCCTCTCTATTCCTTGCCTTTCTCCTTCCATCTATCTGTCTGACTGTCTGTCTCTGTGTGTGTACATAATTTAGCATCGCATCAGCCGAGACAAGCTGAGCCTGACTTCTGGAGAAAGGTGCATTAGTTTTACTTGCACTGTTCCTCTAAGATGGTGTTTGTCCGCTGCACTATGATATTAGCTGTTGAGGCTAATGGTTTCTCTCTTTCTCTCACTATCCTATTGCCAAGAATCCCTGCTGTGTCAACACACCAGCCGTTTTGCCTCCGACACCAACATCCCAAGCATAGACTGCCGCCAGACTGGGCCCCTCGCCCCCCTTACAAACGGACTGGACAGGACCAGCCGACTCCAAGCATCCCAAGGATCCATATCAACACTTGGTCAAGTCCTCCTGTTTGTTGTTTGAGTGGGCTCTTTACAGCTAATAGAAAGGAAGTGTCCACCAGATTAACACAATTTAGGTTTTAAATGAAGGACTGGGGGGAAACACAGATTGACCACAGTGTGGTCATTAGCTGAGTCACTGGGATTCGTAACATAAGGACAATGACACAACAACAATAGCACTTTCTCAGTCAACCGTTCAAGTTGCAATATGCAGGAATCCACCTTTAGATGGCAGAACTGGGTTCTTCTTCAATTGTGGTCTGTCAACAAGTACCTGGATCTTTTTACCTTTTGTTCAAACAAGTCCTGCAGTTCATCAAGGGCGAAGCCTGATAAATCTCTCTAAATCCACTTTTGTAAACTGGTCTATAGGAGAAGACACCTGATCAGCACAGCAGTGAAAAACAGCTGACAAAACACCTCACCAAACAGAAAAAATGAGTCATTGTGTAAACATTGTTCCACCTTTTGTATCACAGTTAAATTACATGGACTCCAGTGTTCTCAAGCACATATTTACCCATTGTGCTAGGTCAGTCTTCATTTCAACAGCCATTATTTTATGAGACACTCAGAACTAAAGTTAACACAATGTTAGCCAAACATTGCACCTCTTTGAACGGTTTTCTTTGAGTTCTTTGGAGTGACTCTCCACAAGGAGGTATCGCATACATTTGAAAACTGCAAAAGTCACAAGTGTACAAAAAGTCAGCGCTCTACACCTGCTGATTAATCTGTTGCCCTTCTCCGCCCGCTAGCAAAGGAACCTGCCCAAAGACGACTTCTGGTGCCACCACATGGAGCTGTTAAACTGGAGCTCTGCTAAAACAAACATTGTGGAGTAAGAAGCAAATGTGGCCTGTTGTTTTTTTTTTTTCTTTTGGCTTCACCTCCTCCATCTCTTTCTTGAGTTACTGAGCAAACAGGCGTTTGAGAAAGAGGGATCAAGACACAATGAACTGCTTTAGCAGTGGAAGAATGAGTTGCTAAATACAGATTCAAATGAAGGATAATAAAATAGTGCAGAGGAAAGGACAAGCCAAAACTAGCAGTATGAGCCATACAGTTTGATCCCCAACAATGGGGTGCAATTTACATTACTTTCTGTAGATGCAATCTGCATCTTGTTTTATATTGGTTTACATCCTCATACTTTACCACACATTGTAAATGGAGGCCACAACAGGTTTAATGGAAAAAACTAAAATCACATGATGCATTCATCTGGATTTTTGCATGAACATGCAACACTTTTCCCATCAGCACAAACATCATGCCTTCACTAAGACTCATCCATTGTCAATGTCATTAGCAGGCAATTTAAATGGAATTTCCATTTGTAATCCGATTTTTGAAAATAATTTGAAAATTGCTTGTGGACTCATGACTAATGCTTGGTAAAGACTTTATTATAAATTATTTAAACCATCAATTCTTGACTAGACCTAATGTGCAAGCATGCTTTCGAGACAGACAACAGTTAAGGCACTGGCTAGCCAAGTGTGATTGCTGTGTCGACTGTTGCTAATATAAGTGTTTGCTGAACACGGTGACTTACTGTGGGTTTTAAGAACCAGGTTTTGTACTTGTGATATCATTGAGATTATTTCATATCAGATACAAGACTCTGAGTGCATACAACTTGACCTGTTGTGTATTTTTTTGTGAAGTGTGAGGATTAGCATCAAAGTTAGCACTAATGCAGCTAATCAGAAAAGCTAAAGGACATTCCGTTAAAGTACCTAGAGATCAAGTTTATGTCCTATCTATAAAGAGTATGGGATCTCAGAAAGACTAATAAAGGATTCTTTAAAAAAAAAAAAGTACCACAGTGTTACCATATAAGACACCATGTGAAAACATCATGCTAATACTGTGTTTTTGGACATTACCATGCTATTCTTCGATGTACCTTACAGTGTCATGGTATATATGAATATGGGAATCATGGTATTGCCATTTGATACATGAACCACGGTAATGTCACAGGACTTTTTTGTATGATTTTGACCAAAAAAACAAATCTCACACACAGCTTACAAAGGGGTTGACAGGTCTGAAGTTCCCACAGTGTCTCACACATCACCAGCCCCTGTGTTCTGGTTTGATGTATTATTCATGCGGCCTGGTTCCAGATGCACTATATGGAAGGTAATGTGAAGAGGTGGGCTCGGTTCTGCAGTATCACACTTGAACACATTCAGAGGGATGCCAATGGAATGCTAAACAAACCTGATTCCTGAATTATTGAGCCTTTCGGCCGCTCTGGCTCACCCTATTAGCATGTGTGCCTTCTGGACCCAATCTGTGCAGCCACAGAAATGGTTTCCACGGGTCACTCACGCCCTCTCGGCAGCCTGGTGTGATTTCAACAGCCCATGCCACTAATTAGAAACACAATAAACCCTCTAGCATGTCGCCTAAATTATTTACTGACTCTTAATTAATCCTCTGATTACAAGAGATTCCCCCAGATCTGCATGCTAGAAATTAATCCCCAATGCCAACATCGAATGAGGAAGCGAAGTCTGTTTTTCTGACGGGCGAACAGTAGCATTCAGTGTATCTACGTTCTGGACAACACAATACTGAGTGTTAAAGCAAAGTCAACAGGCTTCAACAGTCAACTCATCTCCATATAATTGGATTGAAATCCCCCTGCTGCATATTTGCAGATTGTCTGGAGTCCCCAAGCATGCTTTATGAAACACATGCTAAGTAAATAAAGACAAAACACCAGACACAACAGGCTCAGTGTCCCGGTATTATTATCAGGTCATCGTAATCTTTGGCCTGAGAACTTTAAATTGGATTCTCGTTTAGACAGAACTGACCCAAAGGTCTGTTTGGGAATCTCTTGGGCAAACTCTCTAATCTTCCAGCTCAGACCACAGTCAGTGATCACTTTGTCACCGTGGCAGAACCTCTATCGTTCTGAGCTGACAATCTCCATGTTTGGAGGGTGAAAAAAACGTGTCTCCGGAATGGATTAGCTGCCATTTGGAGCGAACATTCCTGAGGTTCTCCGCCGTGGTGTCTGGAAAGGGTGAAGCAGGTCAAAAGTTGGGTCGCATGAGTGGCCGGAGGGGGTGGAATGGCATGAAAATAAGTCTGTTGCTTGTTGACACTTAGAACGACAAGCTTAAGCCCTCAGCCTAAGCCAGGTTTCGGCTAAAAGCTAGTCATGCTTGTGTGGGAAAAAATGTTTCCGGTTGTTCATTGCAAAAGAAGTTATGCAGGACACCAATGTACCTTTGCTCTTAAGGCAAGATAAACCAGCCTATTCAGTTAAATACCAATATAATACAATATTGTATTGTTGGTTTAATGGTTTGATCAAACTGTTGCCTTTCAAAGCATCTGCTCTCTAAAGATGCACATCATGCATAACATAAAAATGGACAATTTACAAAAAGATTAGTCTATACACAATTTATGATCAAATCATTTTGACTGCATTGTAAACTATACAGAATATGAAGTTGCTGATGGACTTACTAAGTGCCCTGGTGTTGGTGATCTGGAGTCTTTAAGGGTTGCCGTCCCGGGAACGTCAAGAAGCGGCCATTTCATTTGTAGATACTGCAGGGGACAAAAGAGAAAGTCACAATCAATCGATCATCAACACATGCACCAGGTTGTCTACATGTCACTGCAAAACCAAAAATACTTCTATTACTCTTAAAAGTGCTTTATATGGATATAGTGATGTTGCAGAATGTCTGTCTTTAATAAGCAAAAGCTGCCAAAACCAGATTTTTTCAAGACACCTTCAAGGTCGAAAGCCAAGTTTTTGAATTAAAGGAATATTCAAAGTTAAGTAAATGTTTGCCACCGGAAATAATTCAGATTCACACCTTCATGTTAAGCACTTGGATGAAAAGTTTATGAAGCTATAGTTGTTGACCCAAGTATACCGAATTTCTGAAGATCTGTATTTAACCTGGAATATTCATTTAAAATGGAATGGAATGGAAGAAATCAATTAAATAGACCTCTGAGTCATCCACAAATTCCGGCAATCCAGCTGTTCTTTGTCTTAATTCATTTGAAAGCTGTGGAGATGAACTCTGAATGCACCTGGGAGCATTAGCTGGAACAGTTTGGGGGGCTGAGACAGGAGCAGTCGGGCCCAAGGGAGGGGGCGAAACGTGAAAGTTAAATATGATTTGGACTGCAGGTCCCGGCATAGTAAATGCCCAGCTGGATGGATAAAATGTGTGCATGTTAGTATGAAGAACAGCTGGGAGGAAGTCCCATAACGCGCTGGGAGAATAGGAAGGGGCCTTGCATGGAGCAGAAACAGAGATCTGCCTTTCTCTAGTTTTGCCCTTTAAATATCAATGGAGAACGCAAAAGCGACACTGTTAGGGTGAGCGTGGTATGAAATGAGAGAAGGAACATGGAGGAGACACGCAGTGATGAATGACTGGACTTCTTATACAGAGGGAGATGTTTATTGTGAAAGCCCTCGTAGCTCAGTGCGCGCGTGTCAAAGTTTGATATGTTTTTAGCTTTTCTGGGGCCCCTCGCATCCAGCGCTTATGAATTTCAGGAGCAATTTATAAAATCTAGTTTTTTTTTATCCCTTCACGGAGCTTCCCTGCACTGTAAGAAAAAACTGTAAATATACAGTACAATATACCGTAATATTTAAAGTAATTTTCCCGTATTTTTTAATTACGCTTTGCATTGTGGGAGCGAGAACCTTGGTCACTTATCAGCGCCATTACTCACGGAGATCTTCTTGGTCAGTTTCATTTTCAAGTTGGCTTTTGAATTTGGGGAACCTGTTTCTACACTTCCATGGTAAATTATAGACTATGTTGTTAAATGTCACAAACTGTTGACGTAACATTAATTTAGTTAAGGTCTGGCTTGTTTGGCAAATGAATGTCGGAGCCGTCAACATTTGTCAACATTTTCTGCTTATCGTCACACATCTTACTTACGGAGGTTAATCTTTTAATTGTTTATTAACTATTAATTGTTGTTGATGCACTGTATTTAGTGCTGATCATACCGTTTCAAGCATCTGTCATTACTGAAGAGAAGCAGTTGTGATAAATCTGAAGCGCAGTACTAATGTAGTTAGTTTAATGCCTTCAACAAAAGCTGGCAGAGGAATTGTCGAGAAAAGGAGAGACCATTTACATCTTTCTTAATTTAAAAGAGATGAAGATGCAACTAAGTGAAGATCTGGCATCGCGAATTCTTCAAGGATAACACTATCACCTTTTCTGCCAAATGAGGTAAGTTTAGACCTTTTATTGTCTTGTTTTACACACACAAGGACCATAACATGCAAAAGAGAAATAAATTCGGTAACGTTACTAGCAGGCTGTCTGTGAAGCGGCTGAGTGAACACAGGCATCCGACGAATCAGACATCAGACAGCGCGCCAGCAGCACATTGAGTTCACTTTCGCACTGTAATGGACAAATGCACACGACATTATGCCAAAATGACCGTTGTTGGCAAGTGACCTCGTAAAACAACACAGTCTAAAATAATTGACCGTAAAGACGGGAGTAGATCGGATGTGTGTCAGATATGCGTCATGTTTTAAAGGGACAGCAGTTCATGACATTCATAGTGTTTCTTTTGTTTTCTTTCTAATGACAGGACGTAATTGCTGCTGTAACGTTACTGTGAATCTCAAGCACACCTGCATTCTTATCATGGGTTTGTATTTTGTTTTATTAACAGTTTTTATTTAACATCAGTGTTAAATATTGAAAAGAAGTTGGTTGCTGAACAAAGTTGTGTTCAAAGCTGCTTGTCGTTATGTATATGGTAATTTTGTAATGCTTTTTTTTTTGTTTATGGTGATGGGCAGTTCAAGATCGCTGTTGTTCAAGAAGTTAATGACCACATCTCCTCCCCTGTTGCGGTTGTGAGCTAAAAATACCCAGAGGAGATGATACTTACGCTGGAATTCATACAGAAGTAAGCAACACATATGTTATGAAATGTGTATAAAGCATTTGGTTGTGTTGCTGTTTATTTAGTTGAAAATAATGAAGTATATTGTAAGACATAGTTGATCTGACAAGCTCATATGACAGATGCAAATGGAGACCATTGGAAATGTAAGTTAAGCAATTTATAAACAATTGTTTGAATTGGAAAGTATTAGGGATAGCAGTTGATTTAATGAACTTAAAATACTGTATGATTGCTTTTCCATCTCCAACGTGCATGTTACTCTGTAGTTCAGTTTCATTCATTTCATTTTTTATCATATCCATTTCTTTTAGAGTTTTCCTGTGAATAAATCCTGAAAGAGAGTTCAGATGAAGGCAAACAAGTGGGTTTGTATTCTGTTGTATTAACAGTTTTTATTTAACATTAGTGTTAAATATTGAAAAGAAAATAGGCATTGAGTCATTTATTCTGTTGACTTTTACAACAACGTGAAGTTGGTTGCTGAACACACCTTCAAAGGCGTGTTCAAAGCTGCTTGTCGTTATGTATATGGTAATTTTGTAATGTCTTTTTTTGTTTATGGTGATGGGCAGTTCAAGATCGCTGTTGTTCAAGAAGTTAATGACCACATCTCCTCCCCTGTTGCAGTTGTGAGCTACAAACACCCAGAGCGCTCAGGACAGTTCGAACAGTTCGGACATTGCGTGAATCAGAGGTAAAAAAACAATATAAATACTGTTCAGTTTCTTGCACAGACCGATCGTTTTGTGTCTTTACACATCAATGTATCGTCACGAGCCGCAGGGTTTAATTTGGTTTTGTTTGTGTATGTTTTTTTGACTCTCAAAGCCGTGATTCTCATCCACTTACATTATAAGACTGACAGACTGCAACGGTTTGAGTTAAAAATCTTCGTTTGTGTTCTACTGAAGAAACAAAGTCACCTACATCTTGGATGCCCTGGGGGTAAGCAGATAAACATCAAAATTTGTTCATTTCATTTTTGGGTGAACTATCCCTTTAACCATGGTTTTGTTACTTCAAATAATAGTTTACAAAGAAGTATTAAGATATTTTTTTTTGTTATGGTTATAAAAACAGACCTAAGCAAAAACAGCCTTTAAAATGACTTAAAATGCATTATATAAAAACAATGAGGCAATAATGATTGATTGAATAACACTGTTAAAATACATAATGTGATACAAAATAAACAATTTATGTAGGCTACATTAGGCCTAAATGTCATTACAAATGCCTGCAAAGGGAGGCAAATGCCTGGTAATTCCTGCTGTTATACTTACAGGACGATCAAATCCTTGTTTAATATTGACCAAACATTTAATTCAAATATCCACTTAATCTTTACATTTTGGTCACCTTTTTGTGATAGAAATGCTACAGCCTCTATAATTTCTTCAACAAAAAACACATGGACATCACAAAAAATTAATCATGGATTTATCATAGTAAAACTGCTTCATTTTCTTTTGCATGATTTCTGAATGCTTGAGACTGAAGATCAATCCGACAACTGTATTAATAAAATCATAGCAATAGGTAACTGTCTAGAGACACAATTGTAATTTGTAAATAATACAATTTAATTTCAATTTATTTATTTATTGACTTTCATATTTTATTAAAGTTCTATTTTGACTCCTATAGTAGTGTTTTTTTTTTACTTCCATAATACTTGAGGGAGGGGACACAATAATACAATTCTGCTTAGGGCACCCATTTGGCCCTGTTAATGAACTTAAAATACTGTATGATTGCTTTTCCATCTCCAACCTGCATGTTACTCTGTTCAGTTTCATTAATTTCATTTTTTGTCATATCCATTTATTTTAGAGTTTTCCTGTGAAGAAATCCTGAACGAGGGTTGAGATGAAGGGAACCAAGTGGCTACGCATTCCTCTAAGACTCTTGCATGAACAACTTCGAAAATCCATATAATATTTGAGCTTTTTTCAAATCTCAAAATGGAACTTGGACTAAATATGCAGATAAAGGGGGGGAAAAACCTGGAGGCTGTGTTCAGTAGTTTCCTCAAACTGGCACATGGTGA